AAATCACTCACCTTATAAATCAAATTTACAAAATTAATTACATTCATTTAGAATCTTACAAATGCTCAATCAAACATGCACTTCATTCTAACCAAAATCAGGATAATCTAAAATCATTTACAACTGTCCATCCATGCACCCTAAATACCTTTAGAGGATGAGATTATTCCAATTCATTAACAAAACATCCCCCATATTACGATATTGTGTGGAAACATACAAACATATAAAAAACAATAAAAAACAAACTAATAGATCAAGAAGAGAGGATACCCTGTGATTGGGTCGTGAAGTTACTGGCAAAGGCAGTATTGGTGGTTGAACATCAGTAAAAACTGGCAGAGATGACTCAGAAGATGGCATTGATGATACCTGAACCACTTCAACATCCTTATGAGGTGCTTGTGAAGGAAGAGCTGAAGTAACTATTGATGGTCCAGGCTGCAATAATTGACCTGGGGTAATCAGAGAAGGGGCTGATGTTTCTGTATGGATAGAAGTTGATGATCCAATAACTGCAGGAGACAACTGTGATCCAGTTTGATAGGCTAAGCTTGAACCTGAAATTGCATTTGGTTTGCTGTTGATGGGTGGAACTATAGCATTTATTTCTGGACCAGAATTAGTCAGTGAAGTCAGTGAAGGTAAGCTAGCAGCTAACATGGTTGCTGAAGTTGAAACATTGGGTATCTTGTTTGTTACTGATGCTGGCAAAATTTCAGAAGCAAGCGTTGCAGAAGGTGCAGGAGGCAAAGCCGAAGGCAAAGCAGATGGTGCAGGAGGCAATGCAGAAGGTGCAGGAGGCAATGCAGAAGGTGCAGGAGGCAAAGCAGAAGGTGCTGGGGCAAAATTAGACGGAGGCAAGGAAGCAGATGTTAAACTAGGGGTAGTAGTACTCACAGGTAGTAAAGATGATGGTAATTCTGGTAAGTTTGAAGATACAGTAGGTAAAGAGTGACTAAAACTGGGATACTGCATAGGCTGCTGCAAGGAGGAAGGCATTGATAAACCAGGTGGAGGTCGAAGTAAAGATTGTTGTTGCAATTGAGGAAGCCCATTGGGAGTACCATAATATCCTTGCCAATACATTGGCATAGCAAGCCTACCACCATTTGCATTTGGAGCAGGCGGAGAAGCTCCCCATGATCCTATGTTACCTCCAGGTTGATACAAAGGTAAGGGCCCTTGAAAATTTGACCCAGGAAGTCCAAGCTGAGGGGTATGAGAGTTAAGATCAGTCAAAGGCCCACTTACAGCAGAAGGCAAACTTGTAGGTGTGGTGACAGGATGAGGATAGTGAGACTGCAGAATGCCATACCATATAATTAGGAAGACATTATTTAACTGATTCATTATTTACACAAAAAGAAATCTCATTAACCTGAATAATAGCTGGGTCATTGTTGACTTGTGGAGGAGGCTGCACAGGTGGAGAGGATTTGACTTGTAAATCCTGCAGAAAAAAAAAATAAGACATGTCTCAGCTGATCTGATTTGTATATAATATATGTGAACATCAATAAATCAATATTCCATGCAGTAACATCTATACAAAGTCTTTGTAGATTAAACAGATTAATTCAAAACAGATAAGAAAAACTGGATCAACCTTCTAATGTTCCATCTACTGATCAAAGATTCTAGAACCAAGTTGTACCAAAAACGTTTCTTCACAAAACTCCTCAATTTACATGCCATTATTCCTAAGGTACTCTCAATGAAACCAGGTACAGATACATACTTATTTAGGAAAAAAAAAACGTGTACATATTACATGCATAGTACCTTGATGTCAGTACCACGGAAAAGTATATACTCATAAACCTTGTCACCCGGGGGAATTTGTGGGCCATCTTTTTTCCTTCCTTCTGTACCAAAAGATCGCACTGCAACACAAAAAACAAAAACGCCACTTTATCAATCCAACCCATGATACTATACAACATATTTAGATGGTAAAACTAGAAGCTGCAATAATCCACACAGTTTTATGAAAACTATTGACCAGAAGTCCCGATGATTTGAAATTCAATCGAAGAGCACAACCATTATAAATACTACATAAACTTTCAACAGTACATGACTTGACTTCCAACCAATACACACATAGGAAGCATATCAAGTGAGAAATAGGTATCATGCCTTATAGGATAAAAGAATAACAAATATCGAACACTCAATCCCATTTAAATGAAGATTAAAGATAAATGCACAAGACATTTTTTATGAGATCATGTGGCCATTAGCTACACACACACACACACACCTGTGTGTGTGGGTGTGGGTGTGTGTGGGTGGGTGTGTGTGTTTGGGTGTGTGGGTGTGTGTGTGTGTACATAAATATATAGGGCACAACAATTATCATTGCAATTAAAGTTTGTCTGGATAGATAGAAAACAAGTAAAGTATGATCTTAGAATTACCACACAACAAATTTAGCTGTTGTGGTGGGAGAGACCTAATTCATATCAAGAACCCACAATTCCTGTGTAGCAGTCATGCCCTATATATCTTGCAATAGGGCTGTAACTTTGCACCACACTATGCAATCTTCGAAGAATACTATGTACAGACTGAGATATCAATTGATATATACTGCAGAAGAGCCGCACCAAAGCTAGCTAGTGTGGTGGATGAGTCCAAGTCCACATTTAGAATACCCTAATTCCAATACAAAACATAGCTTGCAACATAATCAAAACAAAAAATAGCCTAAGAGGTGTGATACAGAACTCCCGGGAGCTGTGCTTGTCTGCAAAAGCACCCATGATTGCCACAACACTGCATGTTTAAAATAACAGAAAACTGAAAGCGCAGAGCAATATCTGAGGGAGAGCACGGAAAAGTAAGGGTGAAATGAATAGAAACAATACCAAATAACATTGAAGACAGTGCCTGAGAACAGATCAAGGCCAGAAACACCGGGAAGGTGTCAAAAACCATTAGAAAATGCTGGAGATGCACCAAATATAGTGGGTCATGTTTCAAAAAAGGGTTTTATTTCAAACCTTGATTAAGGGAAGTATAAAATCACGCACATGTCTCCCAAAGTAAACCTTAAATGACACTATATTATGGAGGTTAAAGACGGGTTTCATCCAGGTAATGTTGCGGCCACTAATGCTACACAAGACTGCGATTCAGAACCCTCCAGACATGACACATTGTGGAAACACAACAGGCTAAAATGGTTCTAGATTGCGTAACACACCACAACAGCTCTATAGCGCGTGACTGACTATCCAAGAATACAGATATATACGTAAATTGCCAATTATTATTCTCTCACTAACATTAAAAATTCAAACATAAGAGGGAAGCATATGAATTTCCATTCTTTAATCCAGTTTGGCCTTAGATTTGGAAGTTTTTTCATAAATCTATCAGCACCGGATTATCTGAATTTTGCTTCTTTCAGTGTCGCACGGATATCGACTTAGGGACTAAATTTTTTCGTTCGCTATTTACTCCTTGCATTTATTAACCCGGCATGCAATAACTAAACAATCCACAAAAGCAAGCAGCAAATAACAAAATAAAAAAATTACAGGAACCAAACGTAAGCCTACGTCCATCTGAGAACCTTATCCAAACAGTGAAAGAAGTTAAACCCGGATACTTCAACAGAGATAGATTTAAACCACATGCCACGCTTAATAGACAAGTAAAACATGCAACCCAGATGCTGCAGGATAAAGACACATCAAGACCATTCTCGATCTCTTAGCAGAAGACCCGTGAACTATCACAACTTGAGAAAAATCCTTCTGTCTGAGGCAAGAATTCATACCCCAGTGACAAAGCCCCACCAGAATTCAATAAAAAAAATAACAAACAACAACAACAAAGATCAAATTTTGAGAGTGAATTAAGAGATCTGAAACGAAGAAAACAAAATTAAACTGAAAATAAACAAAACCCAGAAAGGATTAAGCGAAATTGGTCAGAATAAAAAGTGGTTAGCAGAAGAATACCATTTCTTAGGCCAATACTGGACTCTTCTGTGTTGATGTTGTACAGAATGCCCTCGTATCTGATTTCACTCTTGGAAGTGAGGCTTATCAAGCTGCCAATGTAGGTATCCGCCGCAGAACTCGATCGAGAAGCGCTCTCGGACGCCATAACCGCGAGCGAATGAGGTTAGGGTTTGGGTTTTGGGGCCCCTTTTATGAAGCCCCTGTTACAATCTTTTCCAACTTTCAAATGGGTCTCTGGGGGTGATGGGATGTGAATGAAATGATGTACCTTTTATATGCACAAAATGTATAGTAGTTTGTGAATGGGATAGGATGCTATGTGCATGAGATGATGTTATAATTTACATTGTATATTTGTAATGATGTAATAATGTATGGTAGTTTGTGAGTGGAATGGGATATTGTGACTAAGATGATGTAATAACATACATTTTGTCTTATTTGAGTCTTGTCCTAACAACTCCTTTACCCCAAAAGATCTCAATTAATATTATAAGAGTTGGTATGAACATTATTTATTAATTTTTAAATTACATTTCAACAGAGGATGTGTATATATTAAATTACAAGATTTTTTATATTATCTACTATTAATTATTTATAAATTATTATTTATTAATTATTAAATGTCAATTACTTTGTAATAAATATTTTATGAAAGTTTTTAAATTATTATTTAATTGATTAGCTATGTAAAAAAAAACACAGTTTTTTTTATTGAATTTAAACTCGTGAAAAATCATTCCTTAAATTTTATGTTTGAAACACAACTTTTCAAGTATATGAGATCTATACATATTGCTTGCAAAATATAAATCTAAATATAAATCTATGAAATATGAATTTATATTAGATTTCATACTTGGAAGTGGTTACACTTCCATACAAAAGGCTATATATTCACTTTTCTCTTCTTTTAATTTGATTACTTTAACTAAAAAGGTTTAATATCTCTTTTGGTCTTTCGAAAGAGGGAGAATGTTCGAATCTGTCCTACTTTTTTTAAAAAGTTAAAAAAGATCTTAACTTGTGAAAAAACTGTTCAAGTTAATCATTTTTTGTTATGCGTCAATTTTTTAACGGTGCAGCTGCCACCCTGGATAAAACATAATGACGTGCCTAGTTTACGTGACTGTGTGACTATGTGAGATTAAAATTGTAAAAAAAAACATAAATAACGTGGCAAAGGTTAAAAAAAAGAGGGGTTAGGGTTTGGGTTCCTCCAACTTGGTCTAGCAATCATTAGAAGATGAGAAGCCCCCGACAGAGTCGAAACCCCGCAGGAAGTCGAAGACGCTATCGTCCGAGGACAAGGATGGTGGGTCCATTCAAAGGTCGTCAGAGGACAAAAAAGGTTCGTCAAGGAGGGTGCCACGCGAATGAAGACATTCGAAGGGGGTTCCTTAAATGAATTCTCCTTCTCATAATCTGGACCTCAATAGAAAGACAAAGTGAAACGGTGGACCAGCAACATATTCAGTTTAGAAAGAGATTTAATCATCATCCAATATCAAGTACCTCATACGCATACATACTAAGTATATAACCTGCTTGGTGTTCTGACCAATATCAACTTTTTATCTTCATTTTGTTCAATTCCTCCTTTTTCTTGTAATACTTGTTAAAATAAAATGGCTTAATTTTCAACACCAAGAGTGGTGAATTGGTGAAATACAAAATCAATGTTTTCTTTAAATCTTTTTCGCAAAGTAGATGACTTTAAAAGCTTTCTTGAAACGCAAGGAAAAAGACTTTGTAGTGTAGCAGAATATAGTCGAATGCGTGAAAAATAAAGTCAACTGAATGTAACATAGTAGGGATAGAACAATCAAACGCTGAGTTTTTATACTGGTTCGGGCAAGCCTATATCCAGTGTCCTTCCACCACAGGAAGCAAATGCACTATAATGATCAAGGTTTTTACAACAAGGCTTTTATAGAGACCTCCACATCAAAAATATAAAAACACCTCTCTAACCCTCTAATCAAAATATAGGCATACAACAAAAAGACCAGCAACAAGAATCCCCTCTTCTGCTGTCTACACCCTTTGAGAAACCCCTCAAAGTCAAGAACGCCGCACGCTCTTCTTCCTGTAATCACAACAGGGAAATAACCCAATCTTCAGTAGATTATCAACTCTGATCTTTCAGTAAACACCTCTCTATGCATATTTGATCAGCTCTTTCAAAACACATCAATCTTGCTCTTCAAGAAATCACAAGAGATGATCACCACGGTCTTCTTCTTTGATTCCTGGAGATTTTCCACGTTCTGTAAGATAGCACTAATATGTAATGAATATGAAAATGTTAAAATTCACAAAAGTTATTACAGAATTCAAATTCGCGTTAATATATATAGATAAACACATCTCAGACGCATTTTAGTCGACTTAGCTACTAATGGAGTCAAATATCACAATTCAATTAAAGCAGTTAACAGCAATCAATGCAGTTAATTGAATGTACAATTATTGCAGTCGAATCACAATAAATGTTTGGTCAACGTATTTAAAAATATAGTCGTTTTAACATTTAATACAAGCATTAACATAATTTCAAAACTGTAACAGACTTAGTCGAATGGCTTGCGCACATAGTCGACTTTGTAACAGTTAAAAACATAGTTTTGAAAAACTTTCTCTTCAAAAATTCTCACAGCACACTTTGAAAAAGTTTGTGCAAAGCCACAAGTTTTAATTGACTTACTTCATAATGAAGTCAACTTAAAACTGTTGTTTTGCTACACGATTATAAGTTCAACAAAAGTGCATGTGGTTTTTCTTTTCCAAAACAATTTTCATGCAATCACAAATTAAATCTCACATATAACATAGTGAATTGCAATGATCAACACAACACAAACATGTCCTCATATATTCATAATCATGAAAGTAACGAACATGTAACACATAAACACATGTGCTATTAATTATGTGTTGTCATCATAAAAAATCAGAAACTCTGAGATTGTAGGTTCAGCTAAACCAGTGCTCCCCCTATCAACAATCTCAATAATACTGTCACTGACTATTTTGGATCCTCCGGATTCAATTGTTACCAAAACATGCAACAATTTTTTAAATTGGTATAAAGGGCACCTTATTTACTAAAGTATTTTGTGCAATGATATCACATCAAAAATTTCCTATGTTTTATTAATAGTAATGAGGTTTTAATTTTGGAAGTGCAGGGTAGGTACATGGTAAAGCCCCCTAGTTTCAAATCTATAAACTTTCTCGTAAAATCCATTCTGAAATATATTAGAAAATAAGGTGCCGAGTAACTTTTACTTTCTGAAATACCAAACTGAAATGCATCCACATCTCATGCACCTATCTTGATCTTGTCATCTTCCTTCAACTCATCTTATCACTTTTTCTCAACCCATCTTCCAGAAAGTGGTGTGTGACCACCAAGCTTGGGAAGGAGTGGCTTATGAAGGAGCTTTACAACGAGTTTGGTGGATAAGAAAGGAGGTGAAAGCTGCACATTTTGCAAAAGAAACAGAAATTCAATGAAGATTGGACAATGAGGGAGAAAGCTGCAATTTTTAATCCCATATCGCGATTTTCATTCTAACCCTAACCCCTCTTTTCTTTAACCTCTTACATGTTGTCACGTATTCAATTTATTTTCTCCCAATGTTAATTTTATATGTCAATAAACCTAACACTGTCACACAATCACATAAAATTAATACGTCATTAAGTTTTGTCCAGGGAGGCAGCTGCACCGTTTAATTTTTTAGGTGGTTAGCAAAAAGGATTAACTTGAACTGTTTTTTCAAAAGTTGTGATCAATTGTTACTTTTTAAAAAATATAGGACTGTTTTGAACACAACCTCTCTTTCGAGGGACCAAAAGAGGTATTAAGCCAACTAAAAATGATAATTGTATAAGGGTAAACTAGACATTTTATCCCAAACCATTTCAAATGTTCACAAAACGGGAAGATTGGAATTTTCAATAATCCCCCAAATCATAGGTATATAATTCTTTTAAATCAATTAAGACGAACATAGTATATATCGTAATTTCATCTTCACAAATACACATAATTTGTACTATTTATGCATACGAACACAACATTAATGTTTTTAAACTTTTATTGTTGCTTATTATTATTTAGAATCTTTCCAAGTGATAACTTTATCCTATCATATAATTAAATTTTGTCACATGGTATGAGTCATATAAATTTTTACAAGCAATAATTATCTTTCTAGTGTCCTAGTGTGATGACAAACTATAAGTGTGAGGCACACGCTAGACAAACTATAAGTGTGATGACAAGCAATAATTGTAAGGTGAAGTTTGCACTCACTTACATACTATAAGATTGGTCTAATCTCTAGTCGATGTGAGACTTCTAACACACACCCCTCATGCCGAGGTATACACATCTTGAGCGTGAGATTAGATATTAATGGGTGGTCTAATAGCGATCCAATAGCGGGTAGAACAATATGTCCACCAAACAACAATTATCTCTAGGATAGACTCTAACCTGACTCTGATATCATGTTACGAAATAGACTTTAAGCCTAACTCAACCCCCAAAATCGGCTTGTAAGGTAAGGTCTGCACCCAAATATATACTATAAATTGGTCTTATCTCTAATCGATGTGGGACTTCCAACAAGAACAAAATGTTCTCACAAGAACTTATGCTTTTCTACTTCTTTCTCTAAGATGCTCACTTCTTTTATCAAGATGTATGGGGTGGTGCTGCACAGATATTTCGATACTCAAATCAATAATTTAAATCAAACATGTTTATTATAATAATAATAACTCATCCTTACCTTATAAGTAACACCTTCTTATATACCTTTCCTCATAGGCCTTTACCCGAATAAGTTTGTGTCGAATAAGTTAACTTTAATTTAGGAATGTTTAGGACGTGGCTCTCTTCACATTAATTTTCCTATTGTAATGTCAATTTTAAATATTGATCGAGATGATGTAACTACTCTACATAGTATGATCTTGGTCATCTTTTGTACAATAGCCTTATAATCGAAGTATAAAAAAATCCGTCATTTATTGTTTACTTCTGTCTCAATGCTTCTATCATAAAACCTGCAGTTACATTTTACTTTTAAATGTAAGAGCTTCCCATACTAAATGATTGTTCATTAAAAATGAAGTTCTTACAAACATTGTAGTGAACATTCTAAATAGCATGTGAAAAGAATACATTATTTAAAATCATTTACAAGGTCGAGCGTTTAACAACAACTTTAAAAACTTGTAAAGAATACCAAGAGTGGTGAGAATACTCATTGTAAATTAGGAGTAGTGAAATACTCATTGTAAACTAGAAGTTGTGAGAATACTTGTGTAATCTTCGATAAGATTAGTGGCATTTTCCAACACCTACGAGTGGCAATTTCCACATGTGAGTTTGATTGTCCATGTGAGCAAGCATGGGCCATGTGTGTCGCCAACTGACCTATCCAACTAGATTTATTTGAAATTTGGAAGGAAATTGGATCATATTAGAGGCTCCTCTTTACACATAAATAAGAGAGCCTAACCATTGTATTTTCTCACTTTTGAGTATAATGAAATGTTGTTGAACTACATTTCCAACTTCTTTTACTCTTTGGTGAGACCTTGTTTTCAAATTCTCTCACTCTCCTCTAGCTTCCTTCTTTAGTAGGAAGATCTTCTGAGCTGTGAAGCTTCATACACACACCATACCTTCACTTAAATCACATCAAACACCTTCATTTTCATTCAATTTTGCTGTATATGGAGTTCAGCCACTAATTCTCAAGTCTGGAGTCTCTTCCATCAGAGCTATGCTTGGAGGAGATTCTATCAAGAAAGATTCAAGTAGTAACTCTCATTACATGTAAAAAGTACTAATGCACAAGAGTTTAAATGGTCAATGAAGTAATATAACTCCTCGCTCAAACCAAAACTTGAAGTTTTAAAGAAAGATAAGAATAGTCTTAAATTTGAGGTAGACTCTATAGTTGATGGCTCATTACACGAAGCCATATCGCTTAAACAATTATATAATAATTGCATAACGAGAAAATCACTATTGATTTTTTGTCCATTTGGTGTTTATCTATAGTATATATGACCAAGTTACCCTTAGACTCAATAAGAGTTGTCCATGACCGAGAACATGTTAGTCTACTGAGCTAACATGTATTTGGTCCCTACTTGTTCGACCAAGATGACATTGCACTAATTGTATTATCTACAATCAACTATAATAATATGAGATTAACAAGTAGTTGGGACATATGGTCCAAACCCATCCAAGTAAGTGTCCATGTAAAGTAGTATAAATAACACATTCTATGAGGTATATTAATCACATTAATAAATTAATGAATTTATTACTTGTTGAGACACTCGACTTACTTAAACATCAATATATCTTCTACAAACAAAATCCCTACCCGCTTAAGAAAGACAAATATTCCGAAAAAAGATGAATACTCCACGAAAGGATAAGTATATTTGAAATCAAATATTTAAAGTATTTTTCAAACTTCACAATATATATTTAATCCAACAAAAACATTATCAATATTGATTTATGCGCTTTTAAGTTCACTAAAACATTAAAATGAGTTACTCAATACATACATTTAAAAATTAAAGAAGAAATGGTTCTCTGGTTTCATAAAAATACTTCGCTTATTACAAAAGTGACATATACCTTATTCTTATGAGAGCTTTTCCCTACATCATTAATATCAACTTGTACCTTCTATTGGACTCTTTTGCCTTTCATTAAATGAACTTATGCACCTGTGATCATGAGTAAATGATGTTGGTTTGATTCCAACAACCTACAATAATTGCTGCTACTGGTATAAACCTTACACCCCCTTCTTCGACACTCACTTGTTCTTGTGTTGTGTTTTTGTGTGTGAGCTTGGTGCGAGAGCTTTTCTGGTTGTGGTGCTTCCATTTTGTGGTACCGTGATGGCCCGACGTTTTGGTGGTGGTCCAGACGTGTTGGTAGTGGTCTCAGATGTTGGTGGTGGGTGTTATGGTTGATGGGAAGAGGAAGGTGGTGAAACCAACATCCAAGGTAAACACTAAGCTCTAAAAATCCTTAACCAACGTTCAAAATGCGGTTAAGGGCTCGTCGACATTAGAAGGCTGATTAAGGGTTGTCGAACTTCGACTTATGACAGGGCCTTAACCGGCGTTCGAACATCAGCGAGACCTTAACTGCTGTTCGAAGTGCGATTAAGGCCTCTGAGGCTCGTCCCTGCAAATCCAAGCATAAATACGACATTCAGATTATCTACCACCACTTCTACTGATCGGTTTCATCTAATTTCATGCATTCAACTATCCATCATACAATCCTTAAAGCATGTAACGAGGCTGAGGAAAGAAGCACTACTAACCTGGATGCCAAGCTATGCGAAGACGAAACACAAGAGGAAGAAGCACCGCACACCAGGGGAGAACCTCACCACCATCCATGATAGAGGACCTACAGAGAATGACGACCACAATGGAGAAGGCTTTGCCGCGAGCGAGAACACGAGGGTGAAGTTTAGAGGATAAAGTGCGAGAACAGATGATAAAGTGCGAGAACAGAAAGCACAACAGTGAACTGAGAATGAAATGGGACAAACGAAAATAAAGGCAAATGAGAGAGAGGAGGCATAAGGAGGGAACAAAATTTCAAGCGAGTCAAAGATTCTTTCTACAATTTTTAACAAAAATTAATAAAAGTTGGAAGTGCAACCTGATATTGGTGAGGTGTAGAAAAAAGACCTCCATTGTTATTATGTTGTTCTTTTTAGAGTACCTAAGTGAATAAATATTAAATAGAAAAATTATTGTATACAATTTATAGCGTTATTCTTTTCTCTATTCTTTGACTTTTATAAATTGTATGGAGAATCCAATAGTTCATAGGACAATAATTATCTATCTGCACACTTAAATAAAATTAATATAATTAAATATTGTTCTTAATTAATCTGATTCAATTTTTTCACATATAAGACAAATATTTATTATAATTTTAATATATTTTAAGAATTTATATACATATACTAATATATATTCAGATAAAATTTGGAAAACACATTAAAAAATCCTAATAATATAATTTGTAACTGATTGTGTTATAAACGAGTTATTATATCGTTTACATTGAAAGCTAAGATCAAAGTATAAAACTCAAACCCTAATGCATCGTCTGGCTCACACATCCCATCACCTGAGTTGAAACTTGAGACCGATTAGATTAAAGAGGCTTCTAACAAGAGGCCCCAGAACCCAAATCCTAATCTGATCCGTTTGTGATTATGGCGTCTGAGAGCGCTTCTCGATCGAGTTCCGCTGCCGATTCCTACATTGGGAGCTTGATAAGCTTGACCTCTAAGAGTGAGATCAGATACGAAGGCATTCTCTACAACATCAACACTGAAGAGTCCAGTATTGGCCTTAGAAACGGTATTCTGCTGCTACCCACTTTTTTCCCCCGACGAATTTCCCTTAATCCTTTCTGGGTTTTGTTCATTTTCAGTTTAATTTGGTTCTTTTGGTTTCAGATCTCTGAAATCTCCGTCTAAATTTGATATTTCTTATGGTTATTTTAATTATTTAATTCTGAAGAGTGGGCTTTGTCTCGAGTTTGAATTCTTGCCACAATGAAGGAATTGTTCTGAACTTTTGATAGCTTTTGAGGGCCTTCTGTTGAGAAGCTACGAAGGGTCTTTTGATTTTTTTTCACCCTGTAGCTTCTGGGGTTGCTTCTTTTACTGACGTGTCTTGGCGAGTTTTGTTGTTTTAATCTATTTCTGTTGTAGTATCTAAATTATCCTTCTCTTAATGTTAGCATGTGACTCTCACTTGAACATGGAACTAGGTTTGACTTTCGTAATTCTTGGACTTTGTTTTTTGGTGCTTGCTTTTGTTGATTGTACATTTGTTGCATTCCAGAATACTGGAAATCTTAATGATTGATAAATGTAAGGAGTAACTAAAAATCCCTAAGTTGTCAGCCGGTGAGAATCATGTGCAATGCTAAAAGGAGCAAAATCAGATAGTCCAGTACTGTTATATTAATGAAGCAGCTTCCAAAATCTAAGGCACTGGATTAAAGAGCGAAGATTCATATTTTTCCCTTTCATGTTTGAAGTATTAATGTTAATGAGAGAATGGTAATTTACATACATATCTGTATTCCAGGATTGTCATCACATTGAGCGTTGTGTCATGTCACAAGCTATTAAGCTGAGCCATTGTGTTGTGTCACACACTATTAAGCTGAGTGCCACACGCCATACAGTTGTTGTGTCACGCCACAGGCCAAAGAGCCGTTGTCTTGTGCCACATGCCATAGAGCCAATGTATCGTGCCACACACCATAAATGTGTCGAGCCACATGCCATAGAGTCGTTTATCGTGCCACGTACCATAGAGATGTTGTGTTGGGCCATGCATCATAGAGCTGTTGTAATGTGCCACATTCTATAGAGTTGTTGTGTCATGCCATGCTCCATGAAGCAGCTGTGTCGTGCCAGATGCTATAGAGCAGTTTTCTTCTGCCACACGCCATATAGCAATTTTGTCTTGCCAAATGCAATAGAGTTGTTGTGTCGAGCCACACGCCATAGAGCCGTTGTGTCGTGCCACACGCCATAGAGCCGTTGTGTCGTGCCACACGCCATAGAGCCGTTGTGTCGTGCCACACGCCATAGAGCCGTTGTGTCGTGCCACACGCCATAGAGCCGTTGTGTCGTGCCCACTCAGTGATGTTGTCTGCATTTGTCTCTCCTCTATATACGATTGAATCTTCTATAATATGGGTGATATGCAGGATGCAATGCATAGCTCTTGTGTCAAACAAAGGGTTGGGGTTGGGGGAATTTGGCCAGTGGCCTAAATATCTTTAATTTTTTTTTCCTTTTTTGTTGTTTTTGGTCTGTTAGACCTCTATTTCAGCCTTGTTTAACATGAAGTTTTTTTCTTGTTTTTATTTAAAGCATAACATATAATATAATAAACAAAAAAGCAATATTAATAAAAATTTCAGAATACCGGTCATCCACTATCCTGCTATAGTGGTATTGGAGGTGGGCTATCCTTGCCACTATTTGGGATTTATAACTATGAAATGGTTTTTCATTGAGTACTCTCTCTCTCTCTCTCTCTTTATATATGTGTATTTGTTTAGTTTTTTTTTTCAGCATTAACGTATACTCATGTAAGAAGATTGATGTTATATCTTGTTGAAAATGGATGTAATGTTTGCTCAAGTATACCTTTTTGTTATTTAGGAGTATAAATATTGGTTGGAAGTTGAGGCCATTACTATATGTATGTATAAGTATTGGCTGGAAGCTGAACCCATTACTGTTAAAAAGAAATAAAAAACACATTAAGCAAAATTTATGCTCTAGTTATGAAGGTTATATTCTGTGCTTATGTTTCATATTTTTAAAACACATTAAGCAAAATTTATGCACTAGTTATGAAGGTTATGTTCTGTGCTTATGTTTCATATTTGTAGAACTGTTGATCAATAGCTTTCAATATTTGCCAGATTTTCATGCAACCTTGTGGATTATTGCAGTTTCAAATTTTATCTTCTAAATATGTTGTTTACTATAATGGGTTGGATTGGCAGAGTGATAATTCTGTTTTTTGTGTTGCAGTGCGATCATTTGGAACAGAAGGAAGGAAAAAGGATGGCCCACAGATTCCTCCTGGTGACAAAGTCTACGAGTATATACTTTTCCGTGGGACTGACATCAAGGTATTATGCATGGAATTATTACAAGTGGTTTTCTATATATTCTGGTACTTGATTTTATTTGAGTGCACATTAGAAACAATGGCATGTCACTTGTGTGTTATTTTGTAATGCTTTTGTACAACTTGGTTTTAGAATATGTGATGCATATACTGGGAGACGGAATATTTGAAGGCTGATCCTGATTTTCTAATCTATTTTATGAGTGTATCTAATTACCCGATAAAGGCTTTGTTTATACTTTTACTGTGTGGATATTATATACGAAACAGATCAGCTGAGGCATCTGTCTTATTTTTTTGTGTAGGATTTACAGGTTAAATCTTCTCCACCTGTCCAGCCTACCCCACAAGTCAACAATGACCCAGCTATTATTCAGGTTGATGAAAAAAAATTGTCTGTATATTGAATCAGTTGAATTAATCTTATCCTAATTACATGGAAATGCCTTTACAGTCTCACTATCCTCGCCCAGTCACCACATCTACAAGTTTGCCTTCTGCAGTAAGTGGGTCTTTGACTGATCTTAGCTCTCATAACCCCCAGCTTGGACATCCTGGGTCAAATTTTCAAGGGCCCTTGCCTTTGTATCAACCTAACATAGGATCATGGGGAGCTTCTCCAACTGCTCCAAATACAAATGGTGGTAGACTTGCTATGCCAATGTATTGGCAAGGATATTATGGTGCCCCAAACGGGCTTCCTCATTTACACCAACAGTCTCTGCTTCAACCTCCACCTGGTTTATCAATGCCTTCATCTATGCAGCAGCCAATGCAGTATCCCAATTTCAGTCCTTTACCTACTGTATCTTCTAATTTGCCAGAATTACCATCGTCTTTGCTACCTGTGAGTACTAATATCCCTAGTGTAACATCTTCTTCATTGCCTTCAGCACCATCTACTTTGCCTCCTGCACCATCTGCTTTGCCTCCTGCACCTTCTTCTTTGCCTCCTGCTCCTTCTGCTTTGCCCTCTGCACCTTCTACTTTGCCTCCTGCACCTTCTGCTTTGCCTCTTGCACCTTCTGCTTTACCACATGCGTCTTCTGCGTTATCTCCGGTGCCCTCTGCAACACTTGCTTCTGAAATTTTACCAGTATCAGTAACAAACAAGGCACCCAATGTTTCAACTTCAGCAGTCAGTTTAGCTGCTAACATACCATCACTGACTTCCCTGACCAATTCTGGTCCTGATATTAATGCTTTCGTGCCACCAATCTCCAATAAACCAAATGCAATTTCAGGTTCAAGTTTGCCTTATCAAACTGTATCCCAGTTGTCTCCTGCTGTTGTTGGATCATCAACTTCTATCCATGCAGAACCATCAGCTCCTTCTCTGATAACCCCAGGTCAATTGATGCAACATGGACCAACTACAGTTTCTTCAGCTCAGCCTTCGCAAGCATCTCATAAGGATGTTGAAGTGGTTCAAGTATCATCACCATCATCTCCTGAGACATCTCTTCCAGTTTCTGCTGCTATTCAACCACCAATTCTGCCTTTGCCAGTAACCTCACGGCCTAGTCACAGGGTATCCTTCTATGATCTATCAATTTATGCATGCAGACGTTCACACACACACACTTGTGGTGGTTTTTCCCATTCTTATATGCTTTATACAATATGGTGACATAGTGGAGACTAGAATCTTGTGATTTAACTGGAGTAATCTTATTATCCAAAGATATTTAGTGTGTTTAGATGACTGTGAATTTGATTGTGCATAATTGATTTTGGTCAGGGTTATGTTTGAAATCTTAATACATTTGTAATCTTTTATCTAAACTCGAAATTTGTAGTAAAACTTAATATAAAATTTTCAACAAATTCAAAAGTTGTATTTTTCACCTTTTATCAAATGTGCTTTTATAAATACAAGCATGAGTTTTCATGCGGAGTTGAGTTTACCGAAGTTGAATGTACATTTAATCAGTTCAAATGCTGCAAATATGACAATTATGTGGAAATTTGATCTTCCATGTCAAGTCACACTGGACCTGTCCTTCAAGCTATGCTTTGGTAAAATCAGGAATGCACGGCAATTTTTCCCTGTAATTTAGATAACCTACAAGCCCTTTTCCTCCTGACCAACAACTCTTTTTTCTTCACTTTTGCAAAGAATTGGATGTAGGATTTGATCTGTTTTTTCTATGGTTTTAATTGGCATTTACCTTTCATGAATTACGATGATTGATGAACCTTTCTTAATCTGTTTGCTATGTGCTTTTATTAAATAATAAAATTAGCACCGAGTGATTAAAACTTGAGATCACAAGTATGAATCTTTCATTGTATTGACTCATATTATTTACTGTATATTCTTTTTATTGAGAATGACTTCTGACATGTGGTTGCATTTTTTTAAGCCGGGTGGTGTTCCTACCCAATCTCATCATGGCTATAGTTACAGAGGACGTGGAAGAGGAAGAGGAGCTGGGGTAATGGTCAATTTACTGTTTCACTTACATATGTTGGGTTTTAAAATGGCGTATATCAAAAGAAATTGGGATGTATCGGATGATTCAGAGATTTAAAAGTTTTCCTGTTTTGAAGTGGGGTGGGGACTGGTGGTTTGGATTGTTAAAGGGTTGTTAGTTTTGGGTTTCATTTCATACAACATTTTTCACTTATTTTAAGCGTGTAAACAATGAAATATCCCATAATATTTGCCCTCTTTCAAGTAATTGTTCCACCATTAAATATATCTACTAGACAAATTGTCATTTTTAAAATACTTTCTCTTTTGATAAAGATTAAGGGTGCATTTGGGTAGAGAGCTTAATGAAACAGTTATTCAATAAGTGCTTATCATGTAACTACTTAGGCATATGTTACAAAGAGGAAGTAGGCTTAAATTATTTGCATGCAAGATGTAAGTTTTTTTTTCTTCTAAAGTTATTCTAAAGAGCCTACTGAAATTAGCTTAAAAATAGCTTTTGAATGTATCATAAACTGTCCGAAACACTTAATGTCATAAGATAACCCAAATAAACTCTTCCAAATACCCTTTATGATTGTAATGTTCAGTAGACTTCATGAAAATTTAATTAATGCTTTGCTACCGCAGGGTTCGCGCCCAGTCACAAAATTCACCGAAGATTTTGATTTCATGGCAATGAATGAGAAGTTCAATAAGGATGAAGTTTGGGGTCATCTTGGTAAAAATAAGTCTCATTCAAAAGACAAGGATGGGGAAGGAAATGCCTTTGATGAAGATTATCAAGAAGAAGACGTTGAAGATTTATCAAACTTTGAGGTTAAGGTAATGTATATCTAGTGCACAGCTTGATGTGAATTCAGGTTTGACCTAAATGTATTGTATCTGGTCTTTCTGTCATGGCTTTGACTATGCTTTTCATGGTTTTGCAGCCTATTTATAACAAGGATGATTTCTTTGATTCACTCTCTTCCAATGTGCATGATAATGCTCCACAGAATGGAAGGACTAGATACTCTGAACAAATCAAGATTGATACTGAGGTTTGTTCTATCTCTCATGGATTTTATATTTTGGGAACAATATTCAATTCTTTTTTTTTTATTTGTGGTGTAGACATTTGGGGATTTTGTGAGACACCGGGGTGGCCGTGGGGGTCGAGGCCCCGGCCGTGGTGGACGTTCCCGGGGTGGTTATTATGGAAGAGGAGGAGGGTATGGCTATTCTGGACGAGGTAGGGGCCGTGGCATGCCCAGTCGCAATGTGTAGGTGGCAGTTAATGTGTTTAGTGGTGGACATGGTGGAGAACAAGAGAGTAGGAAGCCTCCCATTACAACCGTAGTTATGTTAGAGATCATGCTTCATTGTTGTGTTGCCTGTTATATGTTTGTTTCACAATAAGTAGACATTTTTTTTCCTTGTCATGTTACCCTCTTGTTACTGCCTACCCAAGTCCCTTTGGTTTGGTGGAAAAATGTTACACCATTTTATCAAAGCTTATATGATATCAACAAAGCAGTAGTTTAGATTAATACATTGCAGGATTATTGTATGCATGCAAGCCATGTTCTTACTATGAAAACTTGTCTGATAATAAAATAATATGAAGAGGAAAATATTCCTTACAAGTGAAAATTGATTTATAGTCAAGTTAAAACAAATTTTTAGAAAATTGTTTAAGTAAAGCACTTTTAAATGAAATATAGTTTTCACTTTTAGTTGTAAGACTAAATTATTTATTCCTACCTTTTGTTTTTCTCGAAGAAACTGATAATTATCACGACTATAATTTTTATTGGCTTTATTTTAGTTTTCATTTCCCCGTATCATCACAAATTATCACCATAATTTTTATTTATTCCTGTCTTTTTTTTTTCATGAAAAAACTAATAATTATTATCACCATAATTTTTATTGTCTTTATTATAGTCGTCTTCATTTCATATCATAACAAATTATATAGTCAATACATTAGCAATAATGTTACATCAATAATAACCACCCTTGTGATATTTTGATTATTACCACCATATTTATTAATTTTACTATTGATCCTAATATTGAACCATTGAACTAGCTACGCCATTTCTAGTAACATGAAAATATGCGAGAGAAAGTCATTGAGTTGGAGAAAAGGAAGTTAACAATCTTCTCCCTCTTTTTTCTCAAAAAAGCATATAAAGGGGGGAGAACACAAATTACTTCTCCTTGGAAAACTCGAATATAAATCTGAAATAATGCCTCACCATCTCTCTCTAAAAATCTGATTATAGATTAAGACATAGGTATTAAATACCTATAACCTAACTCGTACTTTATCCTATAAATGTGTATTTAAACAACTTTTAAAGGATTCTGCACCTTAAAAAGGAGAACCTAGATTAAATACCCTTCTCTGACAAATTAATAAAATGTTAAACATCTTATTCTTTTAAATAAAAGAAAAATTAGCTTTTTAAGAAAAAAAAAATGAGGAAGAAACTTTAGAAAAAGTTGTTTTTTTTCTCTTTCCCGTAGTTTTCTTACTTCATATTTATTTCTTGTTTCATCCTTTATACTTTTTCTCACCTTTATTCCTTTCTCTCTTCGTCCATTCTTTTAATTAGTGTTTTAAGTCATAGGTTTAATATGTGCGTAAATATCCAATAAGTGTATCACTAATAGTGTTGAAAGTTTCATATCGATCAAAGATAAGACGATTTCATAGTATATAAGTGGATACAAGCTTCATCTTACAGGTTGGGGTTGAGTTAGGCTTAATCCACTTTTTAACATAGTATCAGAGTTATGCGTTAAGGTCTCTCCTAGCAAGATTTCTTGTTTGTTCGGCTTATTGTGACATCCGCTATCGAGATATTTTTTGTTTGTTGGACATACTGTTTCACTCGTTATCAAACCATCCATTAATGTTTAGTACATACGATTAATATACATCAACATGAGGGGGAGTGTAGATATATTATCTTTATTTTATATTTACCTTTTATCTTTAGTTATCTTTTATCTTTAGTTTGTTATTATTCTTTATTTATATTTTGCGCTTAATTTATATTTCTTCTATTATAAATAGAGTACCCCTATGTGTATATCCAACATAAGGGAGATTAATCACATACATAGTTTTACTATATTGAACATGGTATCTAGAGCCTTAAGTTATTTTTAGGAAAAATATTTCGTCGCCTCTCCACTACACCTATTGCTGTTGCTGCTAGCGACGGCGTCGCCATTGGAAACTTTCTAGTGCCAAGATTTGGGAAAATTTCAAAGTCGTGGTTTTTAAGACTTAGGGGTTGAAATGCACTCTTTATGTCCACAAATGACTATTGTAAAAATCTTGGTGTAAGAAATTTGTCTTGTTGGTTGGTTTTCAGGCTAGCCAAGTTTGGTAGTGGGAGTTGGCTAGGTTGGTGCTTGGTGTCAAGATTTGAAAATTTTTCAAAGTCATGGATTTTGAGGCTTAGGGACAAGAATGTACTCTTTATGTCCTAGATGACTACTCTCAAAATATTGGTGCAAAAAATTTGTCTTATTTCAAGCTAGCCAAATTTGGTGGTAAAACTTGGCTAGGTTGGTTGCTTGGTGGCAAGATTTGAAATATTTTCAAAGTCGTGACTTTTGGGACTTAGGAAATGGAATGCATTCTTTATGTCTCCAAATGAGTACTGCCAAAATTTTTGTGTAAGAAATTTGTTTTGTTAATTGATTTTTAAGCTAACAAGTTTGGTGGTGAGACTTAGCTAGATTAGTGTTTGGTGACAAGATGTTAGAAATTTTCAAAGTAATAGTTTTTTTGGAGACTTTAGCTACAGCGTAATAATAATATAAAGTATTTGAAAAAGAAAATGAAAAAGTGTGATTTTTCATTTCTCGCTATTGATATATATATATATATATATATTACTCTGCTGGACATATAATCATGCAAACATATTCTAACAATTTTGTATACAACTTAATATTCACATATTATTTGGTTTGGTGGTGCTTTATAAGTAAGTTCTGCAGAGAACTATTTATTCAAGAAATGATGCATACACTGGTTTTTACTTGTCATATATTGGTGAAATGACAAACTTATTCATAGCTTTTATCCTCCATACCCTTTATCTCTTAGCATATAATTTGAATACTATAATATCCAATTACTTGCATGTGGCAACAAGAACTTTCCTTGGAGGAAGGGAAGGCCTTCTACCATGAAGCAAAGCATAGTTATCAAAGAAGAGAACATCCCCTTTCTCCCACTTGAACTGTATGCTCTCTTCTTCAATGATTTCTTCACATCTTTTCACTACATGTACTGGAATCTCTGTTCCATCAGCCATCATTGCTGAGCTAAGTTCCTTCCCATACATCCCTACCAATGTGTTAAACCACATTTTTCTTCCCTTCCTTCCTTCAAATACCTTGGTCAAATTTCTTGGTCCAAGTATTGTCTTCACCCCCCCATTTGAAAGCCACTCCATGTCCATTCCTAGAGCTTTTGCTCTGCAACAGTTTTTCAATCAAAGCTTGTAAGTATTGTGTCATGAACTTTCTCTTTTAACACAATGGAAAAATTCAACATCAATAAAACACGAGTTAAGGAATCTTAAAATAATAAATTTATCAGTTTTCCTCTTTATTTATTTATGATTCATACTTGAATTTTCAATCCTTACTGTATGGATTGAGATCGAATTTGTGTAGAACGAACCAATATCTGTGCAACATGTTATTAATGTATCACAGGTGTAGATTGAAAGGGATGAAATAGTCTTAGATCATGCATGCATGTACAAAACTAGTTCATATTCTGTGTTGGCATTTGAAGGAAGAACACACCTTTCCTCAGCTACTTTGCGATCTGTGGTCCCAAAGGCATCTTCCCAACCTCTACCTCTCATGGAGGAGTTATCATTCTGAGTACTACGAGCTGTAAATGAATACTTCAAACCCTTCTCCTCCATCTCCTTCACCTCTTCTGGGAACTCTTTAATCATCCTTTCTGTCACTTTGAAGCTTGGAACAAAAGGGGTCTCTCCCCCTTCAGGAGGAGGTATCTCACAAAAGAGTATCACTTTCTTGGGATATTCCTTGATCTGGAAATCAAATCACAAATTTTATTACCATTTTTTTCATTGAGATTATAGTGTTGATCGTTTAGGAAAAACATGGAAGTTCCTACATGATGTAACGGATGAACTAAAAATAGATATTGACATTTGCTGTTCAAGGATACAATACCAGTTCAAATATTTTTATTAAATAACCAGACTGCTAGTTTCTCATCACATCATCACTTTCTGCCCCAATCATAGTGTGTGCAAACGTACGAAGGATGAGTTAAGCAAAATATTTTAATATCAGGAGAAGAAGAATATGCAGAGAATATTGTCAAACATTGTCTATTAGTGATATTATTTATAAACATAGTTTTATGTCTATACTACCTTTGTTTCTACCTGGTCAAACAGATTGATTATCAGATTAACTGATGAAAATCATTGGGTCAAACAAGATCTCAGATTTTTTGGTTGGAACTTCCTAGTACAACAGAAATTAGAGTTGCAAACAAAATACATGAAATCTGTTTGAAAGTGCTTATTAGAAATGATTATATGATATTGATATCAAGAAACTGGTTAAGTGCATGACACATGATGGTGCTAATGTGAATGTATAGTTGACTTACCAGAACCATTTCATGGTGATAGTATATGAACTCTGAGAGAGGTCCTTCATTTGCAGTCCACACCCTTTTGTAGATATGTGTACGAGGTGCTGGTCCAACATAACGAATGTCTTCCCACCCACATGTTTCTACGATTTCATTGAAGTCCTCAGCATTTCTGACATCAAAACCTCTGAGGAGAACAGCACTGTTCTTGATTATCATTTGCTCAAACCAGTCTTTGTTGTTCTCCAGAGCCAAGAGCAAGGATTTCAAGTCACTCTTGGTAGGTGCAGGAGGTTCTAGCACCAAGGGCATGGTTTCCCCATCTACTACTTTTTCTCCTTCACATTTTCCCACCTTCAAGTCCTTGCAAGAAAACTCCATCTTCATGCCTCCCACCATTCTTATTGCAAATGTTTTATGCAGAGTTTATTACCCTTTGTGGTTTTGCCTTCAAAAGGCTTGTGTATATATATATATATATAATACAGTAGTGGTTGGTGTTGACAATTGCAATGCTAAAATAACAAGAGGATCCCTTTGTCATTGGTCCAGAGGGATTCTTCTTGTCCTTATATATCTGTTCATGTTTTGCAAGGAAATGAAGATGCTAAATTTGCGAGTTATTGAGAACTACAAAAGAATCGTTGTTTGGATTGACATTAAGACCATTTTTATGGGGGGAGGGCCGGAATTGAACTTATCAGAACTGATTTTGGGGTTGAGTTAGACTTAAATTCATTTATTAACATGGTACCAGAACTATGATTAGAGTCTATCCTAACGATATTTGTTATTTGTTACACATATTGTTCCACTTGTTATCGAGTCGTTATCGAACCACCCATTAATGTCTAGTCTCACGTTCGATATAGATATACCTCGACATGAGGAAATGTGTTGAAAGTCTCACGTCAACTAGAGATAAGACTAATTTAGAATATATAAGCATATGTAAATCTCATTTGATTTTGTGGGATTGTGTTAGAATTAAATGCACTTCCTAACAATTAAAACCATTTTTGTGGAGGGAATTGAACTTATCTTCATTTCTTTTTTGTTCCAATTTCGTATACTGTTATTCCAAAACATGCCAAACTGCTAGCGTCACAAGTAATTTATAAACTGCTTGAATGATTATGATTGGGTTAGAGCCAAAAGAAGTGATATGATCAATTATAATACCCAAACCCAACACACAATGTTCTTAGTAATTATCTCTCAACATTGCTTGAGAAACTCAGATTGTGATTGTGACTTGTGATGAAGCCAAGTAATCCTGTCATTTGGTTCATAAAACTATCATTAAAATTAACCTACAAACATTCTTTTGGATAACTATTTGTTGAATTTTTTGCATTGTAAGATGAACTTTGTTGTTCCATAGCAAGAAAGCATATACTGGATGACCTATGCATCTTACTAAATCACACCATTTGATTCAGGTTTGATAGAATTTTATATTAAGACATATGCTTTAAATCTAATGTAATTATAAGTAAGGTCAAAATTATACTATTTATGTATGATAAATTTGTTTTATTTTTTATTAATGTAAAATATTTAATATATTTTTTATGTTAAGACATATATTTCAAAAATAAAACTAAACATTAATAGTCATTCCATAACGATTTAATAGTGGTTGACACATAGGCTAATAAATAATAAATTTTAAATAATTCTTATTTTAGAAAATAAATTTTAAATTTAATTTAATCTTATAAAATTAATTTATAAGTTTATCTTATTTATAATCTACATTAAATCTATAACATTTCAGATGCAAATCAATAAATAGTGTTTCATTTTCCTTTTAGATATAATGCTTTTTTTTCAAAGGGGTCAAATCAAAAGAACCTAATACAATCAGATCAGGTGCTAATGTGGTTTTTAATCTGCAGACTATAAAATCAAATCAGATGTTATAATAAAGAAGTGTATATCTGTATTTGACTACTAAACTTCTGATTTAAACCTTTATAAAATATGCAGTGCGACAGACTGATTATTTAGAATATTTCATCATTTCCATCAAATTTACACTTGTCATGCTTTAAATCAGAGTTTGACCAGAAAGTTTCATTTTGTTAGAAGCTCCTGACTCTGTAATCAATCACTTAAAGTGTATCTTCTTCTTGGTATGTGTATGCAATAGTCTAAATTAAAGTCCAAAAGTTAAAGCCAGAAGCACAAGACATCAGAAAAATCCAACTTACAATAGGTGCATATTTTATTTTAAATTTAGGGAAAACGAGAGACAAAGGAGGAAATGAAAATAATCAGTGAATTAAGTGTTGGGTTCTCAACTATATCAATAAGAAAATACAGAGAATAATATTAAAGGAAAACATTTTTACTAATTTTGAGAGAGAGAGAGAGAGAGAGAGAGAGAGGTTATCTTAATCAAGAGGAGGAGAGTAGAAAATGAGAATAAATTTTGTAGTAGATTCGATTTATGTGATGGAATAAATCTTTATTTAAAGATAATTTATAAAATACTTTTTAAAAATAATTCAATGTAATAAAAATAAATTTCAAAAATTTAAATTAAAATTAAAGTCAAATCTAAAATAAAATACAAAATTATTATAAAATTTTAATAAATAAAAATGATATTTCAGAATAAAATCTATTAAAAATAAATTTTAATTAATTAATGTAATTTTATTTATTAATTTAGTATTTTAATTTTAATATAAGACATATTAAAAAATAATTAATTATATTACATGTTTATCGATAATATTTTTATATAATCGAATTAGTTTCAACTTCCTTTCCAAATCTTCTTACTCCATAAAAAAAGTGCAAACTAAATAATGATTTTCATTTTTTGTTTTATAATTTTTTTAAAATTTTATTAGTAAACTAAACTATTTTATTTAAAAGCAAATAATGTAAAAGTTTTAGGTTAGAAATAATATATATATATAATAAAGTTGGTCATGCCTTTAGTTTGACTTGTTCATTATTAAACTTTGTTAAAAGTTTTGTTTTGTAAGGTATTAATTATAATAAAAATATGATTGCAATCACAATTGTTATGTTGCATCATCACATGTCATGGAGCTTTTGTATCATTGCAAGGTTTCTATAACCTACACGTGGCATGTATTCTTTTTTTCTTTTTTTTTCTAACTTCTATTTAGCTAATATTTTGATGTTAGTGATGGTAGCAAACACTACACTGTGATGATTTTTATTTTATTTCATTTAAATGGAAAGAAGCATGAAATTTAACAGGATAAAAAATTAAAATCTTATGTTTGTCAGTTATTTAAAATATCCTCTATTTTGTTGAGACAAAATGATTTTAAATTTTGTAATTTTTATTCAATTTGATATTTTTTTATAATAATATCTAAATTATCAAAGATACAGTGTCTACGTGAGTTATAAGTGAATGAGAAGTAACTTTTTTCACATTCATGATAACTTAAACGAAGATTGATATGGATACATGATAATTGAAAGGAGTTTATGTGGTGAAAAATATTTGAGTTTATTGTTTGAAGATTAGGGTTTTGTTTTTGAAGAGGAAATAAGACATGAGTTTTTCGTTGGTTAGTGAAATTGTTTCCGTGAGCAAAGTTCTTCTCTCAAAAGATATCGTGGTAGGTGGTTGTTGAGGTATGACTTCTTCGCAATATTGTTCGCCTTATTCAAATAGTTGGGACCAACGAATTTCTCATCCATCACATGATGGTTGTTCAAGGAAAGTTGGGATAATTTGCATTTGCAATTGTGGTGACATGATACTAATCAAAATGATAAGAACTTCAAAGAATGCTAGCAGACAATTTTGATGATGTTTTCACTAAAATTGGAACATAAATATGTATTCATCACACTCCACACTTACCCTTTCGAACTCCTAAGCAAAATTGAGTAATTTCGAAACTCGTTCTAAGTTATTTTATTCCATATTTACACTAGACTAAAAGAATGACCAATAATAAATATAAATTAATCATTTAGAAATCAAGTTATCACATACATGCAAATGAAAAAAATTATATTTTTAATACATGAGTTAATCTTTTGAATTTAAAAAAAATCATATATGAATGAGTTAAAATGTATTTATTTCATCAAAATTTGCCCAAATATTTTGGTTTGTGTTTTCACTCAAAATATCCATGTAAATAAACATAAATCATATTTAACAATTCTTTTAATATTCAGATACTAAAACATACCATTAATCATCATGAAAACTTTTTAAAGGTGGAAATAATGCCAAGGTAAAGATAGAATGTTTGTTTAGGATTTTTTGTGTTTTTGAAATAAATATAGAAAGAATACGAGCTTAATTTCGAAAACAACCTTTTTTTTTCTTATTATTTTTTTGTACTCTTTTGAGAAAGCAAATGTTTTTTACATTTTTTTTTTCAAAATTAAAAAAAAAAATTCCTTTTATTATGTCGTGGGTGAGGTACCACACACTTTATTCATTATTCATTCCTAACACCATTCATTACTTTTTTTTTAAGGTAAGGAAAAATATGATTTTTTTATTTAAGGTTTTGGTACTATCAATGAATTAATATTATGGTTAATTAATCTCGCATTGTAAAACAAATAATCAACAATGTTAATAATAGGGTGAGATCCGTGTTAACTTCTTAAAAAATATATCAAATTATTGTAAGTAGTAAATGGATAAGTATATTACATAATTGTTATACGCTTATTAAATATAAAAAAATTGAAGTTGTTCAGAATTTGAAATTACCAACAATTTCATAAAATAAATACTTGATATACATAATTCACAATCGAGGTCATGAAAAGATGAAAAAAATGAATGAGGTAACCATCAATATATTTAAATTAAATATATAAAAGAACTTTCAAATAGAAATATGGTTTGTAAAAAAATATGATATTCCTTCCTTATTTTTGTCCTTCCAACTAGGAAAGTAAAATAATAACACCATATTTATTCCTTAAACATATTTCTCATATATATATATATATATATATATAAATTATTTTACATAATTCCAAACTATAATTATAGACTTACATAAATCCATTTTTTTTCCTAGTAGGTTTACAACATTACATCATTACTTATATGAAAGTTTCGTATTATTCAACATTTTTTATTTAAAACAATAAAAATTACTTTAATAACAAATATTTAGCTAAAATCTGAAATAATAAAAATATAAAAAAGTAACATATACATTAAAAATATCAAATTTATTTAAGTATTTGAAACTTAATTACATCTCTTAAAAATAAACCATAAAAAAAAAATTGTCTGGGAAGACATCTATTTTCAGTAGAATTTTTGTTGAAAGTGTTGGTGTAGTGATAGCTAGTTCACCCAAACGAAAAAGGTGCAGTGTCGGCAAGAGCGAGTGTGAGTGAGTATGGGCACTGTGTATTCTCCCTCGCTCCTTGCTCTCCTGTTCTTGGCTAGAGTTGCAGGTCTTGCAGTGGCAGTGCTCGTACTCATCTGGGCCCTTGCCTTCAAATCTAGCTTCCTCACTCCTTCACTATCCCAACAAGACCTTCTCTATGCAGTACGCACACATACCTCTTCTTTCTTCCTCCATCAACACTTCCAAAAAACCTACTCAACTTCCTTTTTCTCTCTTTGTAGGTTCTTCATCCTCTCCTCATGGTCATCGGCTTCATTCTGTTAAGTGGAGAAGGTACGCTTTTGCTTATAGTTTTATTTTCAATTTCTGTTACTTTTCACCTCTAAAGAAGCTGCCTTAGCTTAGCTTTTACTGGTTTGTGGGTTTTGGTATGCAGCAATTTTGGTTCACAGGTGGTTACCTGGATCGAGGGGCTTCAAGAAATTGGTGCATTTGTGGCTTCAAGGGGTAGCTTTGGGTTGTGGGATCTTTGGGATTTGGACAAGGTTTCAGGGAAAAGATGGGATTGTTGCAAATTTCTTTAGCCTCCATTCATGGATGGGTTTGGTTTGTGTTTCCCTCTTTGCAGCCCAGGTATTTGCATTTACTACTCCCTCTTTCAACATTTCTTACATTTTCATTTTCCTGCACTGTTTATTTCCTTTCTTATTTCATTTATTGTCTTGTTTCAGTAATCTAAAGGAAGAAAGTTAAACATTTTGAAATCAACTTTTTAGTTTAGTTTAGTTTAGATAATTTTTGAATGTCATTATCCTTCGCACTAAGTAGGTGTTGATGATGAATGGCATTGTGGTCCTACTCTCTTTTGAGTCTTTTCAGAAGAAAGGAAGAGACGTTGCGATTCAGTTCGACTGCTCTCTTTCTTTTTTTGTCATTTTTTTCATTGCAAAACATCCGAGGTTGTGTTTCTAAAATTTTTTTAGTAAAATCAAATAAGATACTTTTGCATTGAAAAATAATATTTTATCACACATAATTTTTTTAATTTGAAACTACTCTTTCTTATTTTTTACTTTTTTCTTTTTCAAAAAATTATAAAAAATATACTCTTTTATGTATAATGCTATCCTTGCTCTTTTGCATTTTCTATTTTCCTTTTCGGTAAAATAAATTCATCGGAGGATACTTCACAGGCATAAAAAAGAAAGAAAAATCGTTAAATTTGAGAAAATGTTTCTTTAGCTGTGAAATGGTATCTTATTTTTTACTTTATTCTTATTGTAATTTGAAAATAAAACTCCATTGAATTTGATGATAAAATGTAATAACTGCAAACCTATTTAATATATCAAACTTTGATGTTTGGGTACATCTTGCATATTCTAATAAGGATGCATTATAGTCATGTAAATCTACTATCTTATAATAATTTAAAAGTTAGGAAATAATGGCTCCTATTTGAGGGTGGTAACGTAGAAGCAAGCAGGATAGTGAATTATATAATCTTAGGGAAGATGACACATTCACATACACCTATGAATATGTCGGAAAACGTTGTCGGCCAATTATGAGTTTCAATTTGTTTACATTTCCAAGGTGGGCTCTCTCCTTTATGTTGATTTTTGGTAACAAGTGATTGGGCTTTTGGTGCTAAGTGTAGGCAATTCTTTTTTTATTTTTATTCTCACCTCTATAATTTATTCTTTTACCAATTTTTTATAATAGAATAATAAAACCAATCTTTAAAAATTTTGCTTGTGATTGGATAAGGAGTATGATAATTTTCAACAAATTTAAATATATTTGAATTGTTTAATTTTGTAGGTTTTGTTAAAAAGGATAATATACTTTGACAACATTTTTTTGATAACATTTTAACACCATCTACGTGTTATTATGTGATTGATCTATGTTGGTGTTTATGATTATTATTATTGATTGTAGAGTAATATTGGACCAATCACAAAATGACACTAGATGATGTTAAAATGTTGTCAAAAAAATTGTTGTGGAAGTATCATTATCTTTGTTAAATTAAAATAGTTTAAATTGGTTGAATTTTAGTCTTTTTTTTTGTTTGCTTAGAATTTTTCAATTATCATCAAATAATAACAGTGATGTTGATGGGAAAATAATTCTTCTAAACATTGACAAAGAGTAATAATCATTAAAAGAAATAATTGGATACTTTAATGCACGAAAAATAAAATTTAAAAAGTAAAAAAAAAAAACTACTGACAAATACTTTTTCTGTTACCACTTTTCTACATTCCTCTAATTCCTCATAAACCTTTTACTATTGCAAAGTGAAAAAAAAAAAAGGTTCAATTTTTCTCTTTTTAGCAACTTTGATGTCACTTTCTACTTTTCTTCATTTATATAATCACGATATTAAAATATTATATATAAGATTAGGATTCTCTTGGAAGAAAATACTGCATAAGCTCTTTCGAAAGAGAGATATAAAAGTAAAATAAGTTTTTCTACAAAATAAAAGTTAGTTTATCTATAAGTTGAAAAATAAATTTTGAAAAAGTTAATAGAAAATAACCTTTAAAAATTAAATTAGGTCGAAGTCAAATTTAATTTATATATATTTTTTGTGTTGGTCTCTTAAAGCTGTTTATAAAATAACTTTATCCAAACAATTTTTTAAATGATTTTAAAAAAGTTTATCCAAAACAATTTTTTGTATGCTTTTATTGCTTTTTAATGGAAAAATTCACGCATACATCATGGTTTCATTATCAAATCATTGAATATTTAAATTAATAAAATTCTTATAAAATTTGTTACACTACTACCAATCACTCATGTTTAACTTTTGTAATAATTATGCATGAAAATTATATTACCATCTAATTATTCTAAATATTTTATTTTCAATTTCTTGGCTGAGTCTTAATTGAATGAGTTTTAAATGATATATATCAATACTTTATTTTATGCAAGGAATGACTTGCAATGGTATTACTAATAGAATACATAAATTTGTCTTCACCATTTGATGAAAGTGTTAGTGTTAGATTCTTAGTTGATAATGAAAAAAAAAAGTTACAAGTTATTCATCCCTCAAATGAGTTATTTATTAAGGTTGTATTTTTAAATCTGATCCAACTCTATAAAATTAATTCCGTAAAATCCTCTTTTTATATAGTATAAAATTAAGTTTAATTCAATCTTAGAACTCACTCTAATTTAATCTTATTTTCAAACGAAGTAGGTTTGTTTCTATGATCTCTAATAGTTACATGAATTATTAATCTAAAAATTTCACTTGAGAAATTAATAGGATGTTGTCATAAAATCTATAATATATAATTAATATTTAAAATATATGAAAATGAAATTACTGGTTATGTATAATGGATGTTTTATTATTTGTTGTGGACACACACAGTGGGTGATTGGGTTCTTGAACTTTTGGCACCGAGGAGAAGGGCGCAGGGTAAGGATAAGGGTGTTACCATGGCATGTGTTCCTTGGTCTATACACCTATGCATTGGCAATAGCAACAGCAGAAACTGGTTTGTTAGAGAAGGTAACATTCTTACAAACAATGAGAAATGTCTCCAAGCACAGCACTGAGGCCATGGTGGTTAATGCTTTAGGTTTGGTTCTTGCCCTCCTCAGTGCCTTTGTTATTTTGGCTGCTGTTTCACCCAAGTATCAAACCATTCACACCAAACTTTTGTACTCAGATACTACCACTTTCTCATCTTAATAAACTGCATTACACACCAATGTTTTCAACTTTGTTAGAGACAACTGTAAATAAATAGGTTTGATCAGAGATATTTTCATGAATTTCAATATTTTTAATTGATTATTTATTAAGAAATGTACTTTAAATTTAATTCAATTCCACGTCTATTTATAAAATAAGATTTTCATCCATTTATATATTCTAAATTGAGTTATCTTTTTGTCGACGTAGACTTTCAACGACTTTCAAGGTTACTTTTTTTGGATGATATGAAACATGTGAAAGACAATAACCTTGTACTAAAACTTTAGCTTTTGTAAAGTAATTTTGAATAATTGAGTTTAGCAAAAACGAGTAGTTGATGGGAACACACTTCTTGTCGTGTCATTGACTAGAATCAAAGATGATAACATTGACTGTTATATAAAACTTAACTAGGGTTTTTACATAGAGATTACAAAGTTATTTCAAAGAATATTACCATCATGGTTTAATTATCATATACTTAATGTGATAATGTGTAATCCTTTGTCCTTGCTATCTCTCCCCCTTTGGCAATATAAAAAAACATAAGAGCAAGCAATATAAGATTAGATATAAAAAAACCAAAGTTAGTCATACAAGGATAATGTTCAAAACAATACTTAAATACAGTTAAATTGTCAAGCACGAGCAATAGAATAAATCTAAAAGAGCCCAAAGTGACGACGGAGATAACCCATGTCTTTCTCAAGATGAGCAACCCGATAATCAAGAAAGTTGAATTGGGTACCAATGAAAATGTGAAGATCACATATCTCATTCATAACATTTGTGAGAAGGGCAAATGAGGCATCCTAAGGTGGTGTAGACAGTGTCCACTCATTAGAAATAGGCTAAGGGTGGTCATGTTTGTGAACCCATTAATCATCGATATTTTTAACATAACCAAAGGATGTTATGAGAACAACACCAATTTTGGACGATCACCTTAACCTTCACAAACAGTTCATCATCAATAGGAATTTGAGAGTGCTATAAGAACCTGGTTATGAGGTATGAATATGGGAGCAGTCCATTGACTCATAAGGCCTTAGTCATGTGATATTTGATGAGATGGACCTAATTAATCTCCCTTTCTATTAAGAGTGTTAACAAATCTTCTTCAGAGGTTTAGGCAAGGTTAGTGGCATAGGAAAGCATAATGTGACAAGTTATACAGTGCATTACACGACATTCAACTTTCATATAGCTAGAAAATAATCTCCTAGTAATGTTGGCATTCTCAGTACTGAAGATGCAAGAAAACACTAGAAGGGGGGATTAAATAGTGTTTCCACAAATTTTTCGCAACTCGCAAACTGATTATGATGTACGTAACACTTGTGAATTGTTAAGACTAGATTGGTAAACGTTATCCTGAAAGATCGTTTACATAATCAACTTAATGCGTCCAATGTTTACATGTGCAAGTAGTAACCTTATACGGAGTAAAGCATATGGAGTAGAAAGAGCGTAAGAGGTTTTAACTAAACTACATCGTTTATCAATAAACTAAAACACATGAATGTTATATACTGGTTCACCTGTTAAGGCTACATTCAATTCTCCTCTAAGTTAACTTAGATAGTTCCATTAAATATTCAATGAAGTACAATTAAGTGTTTTAAACCACTCCTGATGTTCCTAGTCCTATTGAGTAACCATTGTTACTTCTAACTGGTTGAGTTTAACTCACTCCTGATTACGTAGTATTATTCACTACTCCAGGTGGTCCTAGTCCTATTAAGTTTTATAGTGTGTGTGTGCCAAGTTTTTTGGAGTGTTGGTTGGATTGTTTTCTTTATTGTTTTCTGATAAATCACGTTGTTGTGTTGATTGTTGTTGAGGTGGTGGATCATATGTAGTCTTACATACTCTTCAGTCGCGATGTGATAAAGTCTTTGCTTTAGTGCGACCACTGTTATGGTGAACAAACAAGTCTCATGTTGGTATGTGAGTCTTGTTTTGGTGAATATGCAAAGCCTATGTTGGTGCGTGAGCCCCATTTTAGTGAACAGAAAAATCCTACGTTGGTGCGTAGGTCCGATTTTGGTGAATTGGTTATGTGTGTTGGAGTACGGAAAACAACATATAATGACAATGGTTAGTGGTGGTGACATGATTTATCTGGATAAAAGTTTGGATTAAGAATGTGTGTTGTGTTGTGAAATGGCATGATGTAATGAACTTATACCTTATTAGATTATTGTATTATAATAATTATATTATTATGTGTTTTTGGGATGTTGATGTTATTATCTCACCTTAGATTTGTGGTGATGATTTTCACCTACGATGATTGTATTGTATACGAGAACATATAATATTACAAAAGATATTGATGATGATGTAGATCGAGAGAGTGAGAAATTATTTTCAGGATTTTCAAACGTTATTTATTTTAAATAAATTATTTTGAGGAGTTTTAGTATGATATTTCAAGTTATTGATTATTATTTTCACATATTTTTATTTATTTCATGATAATAAAATAAAGATTTAAATGTTTTCACTATAACGTGACACTCTGATTTATCTTAATCAAATTTTAATTTTTTATCTACACATGACATCTAAATCATAATGTTACAAAGGTCATCCCGATCTATTTTTCTTTGTGTGATATTGACCTTTTTACTACCCTTAATAGGTGTAATTTGTTTATATTTCGTAAAATATAATTTTTATGATTTGGCAGTGATCTCTTTTTGTATTATGTTGTTTTATTTTTTATTTATAATACTTTTTTATGTAATAACAAATTATAAATGGATTTGGAAGTGTAAACATACTAACAAAGTTGATGCCTAATATTATATCAAGAGATTTTAATTTATATTTAAATAAGAAAAAATAGTTTTTTTTATACAGAAGAAATTTCATTTTTATGTCTCCATATTATTTTTTAATTTTATATTTTATGTGACTATTTTTTTTTAATTTAAACCATCTTTTATGTAATCCATTTTTATTTAACTATTTTTAAATTAAATAAATATAAGTTATTTAGAAAATAAATAAAAACTATTCACAATAAAATTGTAAATATTACTTATATTTATTTTTATAATTATAATTTTAATATTTGTTTGTTATAAAAAACACATGCTTATGCTTACATTAGTATAAGATAATTAATATGCTTTAACGGTCTATTAGCAAGATATTTTAATTTAAGACAATTAGTATAAATGAAATTGAGATAATTAATTTCATTTGTTCTTGATTATAAAAGTATTTGCAATCCACACAATATACATGGATTCTACTTTAACATCAGAAGTGAAAGTAAAGTTGAAGGGTTAAAAATAATAAGGTTTAATCCTTTAGTACATCCCTATTTATGTACGAATGTCTCAATTGGGTCCTCGTTTTTTAAAGTGTATCAAAATGGTCCTTAATTTTGAAAATTCATATCAATTGAGTCCTTTCCGTTAAGTTGGCTGGACGGCGTTAAAAAAATTCATGAGTGGATGACCGTTCGTTCCACACTGGACGACCGTTCGTTCTCTGGTGGACGAGCGTTCGTTCGCTGATGGACGAGCGTTCGTCCGCTGGTGGACGAGCGTTCGTCCGCTGGTGGACGAGCGTCCGTTCGTCATNCTGTGATTGATCTATGTTGGTGTTTATGATTATTATTATTGATTGTAGAGTAATATTGGACCAATCACAAAATGACACTAGATGATGTTAAAATGTTGTCAAAAAAATTGTTGTGGAAGTATCATTATCTTTGTTAAATTAAAATAGTTTAAATTGGTTGAATTTTAGTCTTTTTTTTTGTTTGCTTAGAATTTTTCAATTATCATCAAATAATAACAGTGATGTTGATGGGAAAATAATTCTTCTAAACATTGACAAAGAGTAATAATCATTAAAAGAAATAATTGGATACTTTAATGCACGAAAAATAAAATTTAAAAAGTAAAAAAAAAAAACTACTGACAAATACTTTTTCTGTTACCACTTTTCTACATTCCTCTAATTCCTCATAAACCTTTTACTATTGCAAAGTGAAAAAAAAAAAAGGTTCAATTTTTCTCTTTTTAGCAACTTTGATGTCACTTTCTACTTTTCTTCATTTATATAATCACGATATTAAAATATTATATATAAGATTAGGATTCTCTTGGAAGAAAATACTGCATAAGCTCTTTCGAAAGAGAGATATAAAAGTAAAATAAGTTTTTCTACAAAATAAAAGTTAGTTTATCTATAAGTTGAAAAATAAATTTTGAAAAAGTTAATAGAAAATAACCTTTAAAAATTAAATTAGGTCGAAGTCAAATTTAATTTATATATATTTTTTGTGTTGGTCTCTTAAAGCTGTTTATAAAATAACTTTATCCAAACAATTTTTTAAATGATTTTAAAAAAGTTTATCCAAAACAATTTTTTGTATGCTTTTATTGCTTTTTAATGGAAAAATTCACGCATACATCATGGTTTCATTATCAAATCATTGAATATTTAAATTAATAAAATTCTTATAAAATTTGTTACACTACTACCAATCACTCATGTTTAACTTTTGTAATAATTATGCATGAAAATTATATTACCATCTAATTATTCTAAATATTTTATTTTCAATTTCTTGGCTGAGTCTTAATTGAATGAGTTTTAAATGATATATATCAATACTTTATTTTATGCAAGGAATGACTTGCAATGGTATTACTAATAGAATACATAAATTTGTCTTCACCATTTGATGAAAGTGTTAGTGTTAGATTCTTAGTTGATAATGAAAAAAAAAAGTTACAAGTTATTCATCCCTCAAATGAGTTATTTATTAAGGTTGTATTTTTAAATCTGATCCAACTCTATAAAATTAATTCCGTAAAATCCTCTTTTTATATAGTATAAAATTAAGTTTAATTCAATCTTAGAACTCACTCTAATTTAATCTTATTTTCAAACGAAGTAGGTTTGTTTCTATGATCTCTAATAGTTACATGAATTATTAATCTAAAAATTTCACTTGAGAAATTAATAGGATGTTGTCATAAAAT